TGTTGAGCAATTATGTTATGAGTTATAACTAACCATATAAACGCAACAGCGTAAATGAAATCTGTCTTTAACAATTTTTATTATATGTTAACAATTAAACAAATATTTTACGTTTAATTATTATTGTAAGGAGTAAAGATTTCAATTTCTTTTATTTTGTTAATTAAAAAGAGAGTATTATTATACAAATTATTATACTTAAGATAAAAATAATAAAAGTTTGACTAAAACACGTAATTCTTTCATGTTTTTAATAATATATATAATCTCATTTAATGATTACCTTAATGGTTCAACTTATTCTTTGAAGATACTCAACATGTCCCATAAGTGGTGATTCATTTTACATCCATGTAATTAACGTAATTTTCTTCTTATTTACGAGCTATATTAAGGCTGTATAAGTAACCAATTATTGAGCCAGATGCAATGGCTTAAAGCATTTATCATTAATTTTATCGTAATTGTGTAAAGATTTATAATAATTTAAAGAAAAAGTGTCACTCACAAATAGCCCCGCTCAACCCTACAATTCAATGGTTTTCAAACGAACTTTGATTCATGATCACACAATTTTTTATATCAAGTTACAGCGATTCGAATTTTGTGCTATCTGCAGCTTTCCATGTAAAGCTTTACAATTTTAAGTACGTAAAGTGCACACGCATACACACACACCATGTCTAAGTACGAGTACCATTCTTGAAAATTTTACTAAAATTCAACTAATCATAACTTTCTCAACATGTCTTATGATCATGAACTCATTCGAAAGCTCCTAAATTATACTTTCAGCTATCTTTGAATTTATTTACAGACCAGACCTTTTGAAGTAAATAAATCTTAAAAATATCAAAAAACGTTATTTTTGGTCCACTTCATTACAATTTACTAAAAATTCTAATGTGCTACGCAAATTCTGTCGACAGAATATCGCGTTTAGTTAGCAAAGAACCTTAAGGAAATATGTTATCGCACTTACCGAGAGAAATTTCTTGTAGCAGTAATTTATTGCAAATTAGAATATTTGGAACGTACGATGTATTGAGCGAAGTAAATATACTATACCCTTTTATTAAAAATTTATTTTTTTTTATTTGTTGTTTCTCAATTAAATTAACATATTATTTGATATGCAAATCAGTGAGCGTTATTTGACTTAATTGCTTATTCTATATTTTTACCTATTATATTGTTTGCATTATATTTGATTCAAAAGACGAATCATATGCGTAATATCGCACATGTTACATTTTGATGTATAAATACACATTCAGTTAAATAAAAAAATATATTTTTTTACTTAAATCATCCATATTATGTATCTGTAACGTTTCCTCACATTCTTCCCTTAGATTTGCCGCGGTCGGTGTTGAGAAGCTAACTGATAAATGAGAAAGGCTGAATTTTCAGCGAGAGAGCCAAACATACGATTTTTCACAAACTCGCATTAAATAAAATCGTCTTCCAGAATTGACTATTACATCGTATTGAATGTAAATCTCAGATTGAAAAACGCGTTACTTGATATACCGTTACCATTACATAAGTCGGTAATAAAATTATAACAGTTCTAATTTTCGTATTTTATAGCTGTTACTGCAACGTAGTTATATTTTTTCGGTACGATAACGAAATTAACAATTATTTTACTCGCGATTTGCATTTTGAATTCATTTGTGACATAATTTGTAATGTCGATTTTCATTTTTTGACTAATATTTATAATTTTATTGTTATATATTTAAGACGATTAATTTTTCCATTTAATCCATTAGATTTCAAAACATCCTTATATGCATTTTCATTTTGAATTTTTATCACACGACTCATAATCAAAATTTTTACACTATAATAGTATTAATTAAAGTAACAAAAGTTGTCCTTTCAAAAATCAAAAGATGAGACATCCGAAGAAAAAGATTAACAGTAAAGATAAAGTAAAAGAAGTAACTGAATCTTACCTTTTTAATGACACACACAAATATTCAATATACAATAATAAATTATTTTATCTATCTTTCTGATCTTATTTTATCTCATTTTCTTCTCTTTAGAAGAATAAAGCAATCTAATTATTATTTTAGTGATCGACAAGTATAATAAAAATCAGTATCACACTGTATCAGTAATAAGTATCAGGATGATCAGCTGCTCTTTGCCTTGATCATATAAACAGCAAGATTCAAACGTTAGCATTTCAAGAATGGATCTGGACACGGAAAAAACCGTGAAACACATAATCTTTATATAGAAAACACCCGTAGAAATCTCAGGAATATTATAATAAAAATTATGGATTCAGGAGATAGGATGTGTAAAAGGAAATACAAACAATAATACATTAGAATATAGGCTTTCTTTCATTTAATTAGAAATATTTGAAAGTAGGAGCGTATATAGAGTGTATATAACAATTAGAAAAACATATTTTTTGATATATTTCATGATATGAACGTTTTTATTCTTTGTCCGTATTTAAGTTTGAATAAACAATTTTGCTATAGTCTTTAACCATCGTCGAGTACCATAAAAAGATTTCATTATATTATCTGACTTTCCTTAATAAATCATAGTTTTTTGCAGTATTTTTAAAATTGTGCGAAGATAAGTGCAAGTAATACTAAAATTATGCAATAATAATTAGTGTCTTAACTACCAATGGTACCTGATGAATGTTAATAACATATGAAAATAAGTACAATAGAGAAAATAATTGATAGATAAAAATTATCTCTACACTTTGGAATGGAATCTAACTGTAAAGAATGAAAATTCAGTGAGTCTTAAAAAAGAGTGTCATAATTTTTAATCTTTAAAAGTGAGATTTCACTCTTCACATTAATATTTTACTCTAAAAGATTTATAAAGTATGTAAACGGATGAGAAATACACTACGTTACAATAAAAAATACAGTACATTGAAATGATGAAATATTAATTTTGGTTACGTACAAAATGATTTCATTTAAATTTAATTAAATTTAAAGTCATTTAAATTTAAATTAAAAATTGCAAAGATAATTGATTATGTGATATGTTTCTAAATATACAACAGTCTGTCAAAAAGTAATGTATTGTTCTACTGTCAATCAAAGATTTTTATTTTATTAGGTCGTTTAATTAGTGGCTGCATTTGTCGTGATATTCCTTATATAAAACTGCGTCATATTTACATTATTTTTTCTCCAGTACTTTAATTTCTTTCAGCACAACCATCTAAACAACCATCTTGTCTATTTTGTATGTATTCCTAGTGTCTTTATTTTATATTATTCGCAGAAGGTAAATAACGTATGTAAAATTTATAGTGATACATAAAATGTCATTGTTCAAATTGACGCATGGAATTTCTTGTTTTTTTTTCAGTATATTAAAAATGGATAAGTTTTTTTTTCTTAATATTAAATAAGTCCAAAAAAATTTCTGAAAATTGCTTATTTTTCTAATTAAATTAATAAATAAATTTAAAAAACGTTGTATAAAAACTGTACTACTTATAAAGTATATACTATTTATAGATGTTAAATAATATGTGTATTATTTATATAATAATTTATTCACAAATACATCTATACGTATATATGTATTTAATATGTATGATATTAACAGTAAATGATGTAAAATAAATTTTTATGTAACATAAAGTTATATAAAAATTTATATAAATAATAATTAAATACTTAACGTACAACATAATACAACTTTAAGTGTGTATATACCTAGACATATTTGTCTTATATTTGCATTACAAAGGAAGTTAACAATTTACTTAAATTTAATTATCACTTGGTATTCAATTCAGGTGTAATGGTTCATTTAACGTATGTGTTTTTATTAATGATATTGTTAATTTTTATAACTTGAACTTAAACTTATATTTTGTTTTTGTTACATAGACCAAAATTATATTTTATACGTTCAATATCTCTTAAAAGGATCCTAAAACCGATTAATCGTAATGTAAGTAGGACTTATATACAAACGATTTATGTATCACTGATGCATCTGTATGTACAGAATAGTATGTAGTACATAGATATCTTATATACACATGCACATAGAAACATAATTTTCATAAAAGAATAATTTCAATTATACGTAAAAATCCAATTTTAGGAGCTCCACATTGTATCTTCATGACAACTAGTAGTATGCAGATCATAGTTTTGTAACAAATGGCATAGCTTTTATCTGAAGCAAATACTGATATAGCAGTTCTAGATCGCCATACTAATAAATAGAAAATTGCTATAAATAAGAAATTATAAAAAATTCCACAATTTTTTAACTTGTATGTTCTGGGCATGAAAACTCTTTAAAACTCAAGCACAGCCAAGTATTAATACGTATAGATTAATTGTGACAAAAAATTCTCAAATCTATAAAAAAGAAAAGTAATTGTCATACGAGATTTGTGGTATTATTAACGGTTATTAGATCCTTAAGAGGCAAGATCTTAAATGGTCTTCTGTTTATCGATTGAACGTAATAATTTTCGTAGAATGATATCTTACAATACATTAACTTTTATCGCATTTGAGAATCTTCTAAAATTAAAGTATATGTATTATTATGTGTCTGCAACTTGAAGTTCATGTCACGAACAACAATTTTTTAAATTGTTATGCTGTTTAAACATTTTTAAATCTGAGTCTAGACTTTTCAAGTTTGTCGCAATATTTGATTGATACAAAAGCTTTTTGTACGTACAAAACTGAAAGTTACAAACTAATAAAGTAATCAGAAGAATAAAATTGTTGAAATTAGATTTACATGTAATTAAAAATATATCGCTTTACAAAAATTTATGTATATAAGTGCGTACGGCATTGAATTGCAGTATATAAGAATGAGTCAATGCGTCACATTTTATCAGTAAAATAGCAATTTTCTTCAGAATTCGTTTTTTGAAATTAAGATCTCATTAAGAAATAGATTTGTATATACTATAACGCAGTATCAATTATTCTTTTTCTGGAAGATCATAATTTGGCCCTCAGGATCAAGAGAGTAATTATGAATGTCAGATAATTGTTGATCAAATAAATCTAGAAGTTCTCCTGTTTTGCAAGTTCTTTTCTAATGAGAACTTCTTCTCCAACGGGAAGTTCTTCTCTATCGGCAACTTCTTCTATATCGTATAACGGCTTTAATGCGGCGGGAACTTTTATATCATCCATAATACTTTCAATATTTTCAAGAGGACTCGCAACATATTCTGATGGTTCTGAAGTCTTCGTTGCGGATCTGTATATATATATATATTGTGATAAAAAAATTAAAGAGATATAAAATGTAATATAGCATTTAATAATTATATTACTTGATAATTATATAAAAAGCCTCATCTCTTCAATCTAAATATACGCTTAGAATAGGAAAAATCTGTAGTAACTTATGATACTTATAATTAAATACTTATATTTAATACTTATATTTATAGTTTTGTATACATGAAAGTATAAAACTGTCCCAAATTTATTGTTAGGATATATGATATTAAAATAATTAAAAAGGAAAAAGGGATACGAGCCTAAAAACAATCAACATAGAATGACAAACTGTATAAACAGTTAAAAAATTAAATAAAACATGTCATGAAATTAAAAAGGTAAATTATAATTTGACAATCAGAAGGTGAACAAAACAAACGTTTCGATCCTTGTTGGATCTTTTTCAGTGTGACAAATAAATTAATAATAGAAATGTAACGTAGATAAAATATAAGAAATTAAATAAAATTCACATGTTTAAACTCATTATATATATATATATATATATACAATGAATATCGGCATTTTACTCTTTTTCTATCGTCATTATTATGTCTTATGCGCTTGTGTTATAATATCAAAGATAATATTTGCCTCTTTCTTTTAATTTTAAGTTATTTTGTACCTTTCTTTGACTTGTTTTGTACCTTTCTTTTTATTGTTTGCGACTCGATTTGTACTTTTCTTATTATTTTTATTTACTTCCATCGTTAATTTATTATTATAATTTATAATTGCTAACAGAAACATGTTCGTCCTTATACACACGCACGGTTCGGAGAAGAACATTTGTGTCAACTATAATCGTTTGTATGATTTCCTCTCAATTTGGAGCGAGTTTTATAGTTAATATTGCGTCCGAATGCGAATTTTATTTAATTTCTTAGGTTTTATCTACGTTATATTTCTATTATTAATTTATTTGTCACTGAAAATGATCCAACAAGGATCGAAACGTATGTTATGTTCACCTTCTGATTGTCAAATTATAATTTACCTTTTTAATTTCATGACATGTTTTATTTTATTTTTTAACTATTTATACAGTTTGTCATTTTATGTTGATTGTTTTTATAGGCTCGTAGCCCTTTTTCCTTTTTAATTATTATAATTTATTGAGTCTTATTATTTTTATAATTTAATATCATATAATATCATGTTATATGCGAAATAAAGGTACAATGATACATAAACAGAATTTTTTGGGGAATTTATCTTATATATATGACAGTCTTCGAACAACTTCGTATTTCGAAAAGCTTTATATTAATCTCTGTCTCATTCACTAATAAAACTATCAATAAAATATAAAATGAATGTAATTAATTTCACTGAAGTGCAGTGTATAAATCTTTGAAATGTTGCATTGTATTATATATTTAAAACAATATACACAATTATCATTTTTTCGGAATAAATTTTAAGATTGAATTCGTTCTTGAAGGCACATTCAATCATAAAATATGTGTGTATGCATAAATATAAACTTCATTTCCTAAAATATTATAAATAAGAAAAAACAAGTTAAATATAAATATATATGTCAATTCCTCAAAAATTAAACTATATCTGAATTAATAGCATAACATCATAAAAATAAGCTTAATGAAAGCAATTTACTAAATCGAGTGCATTACGCATTGCATGCAATAATCGACAATTAAACAAAATGTAATTATATTATTTATGAATGTACAATAAATGAGAAAACAAATTGGATCATACATGAATATTTAGCAGTGACAGAAGAAGTACCTTTTTTCCAGTTAATGCAAATACAGATAAACTGAATATGAAAAATGATTGTAAATAAATGGCTGCGGAAACTATAATAACATCTTATACATATAGTATCGTATAAAATATTATATAAAATAGTATAATAAAATTGGAGAAATAATTTGCCATTAATTGCTATATAAATATGAATGAAATGTACGCTTAATAAATAAGTGTTATACACAACATCATATAGATTATATTTGAATAGGGAAAAAAATACAAATTGATTCGAAAGATCTATTAGAATGAATTTAAATTAATTTAAAGTGAATAATTACTCGTTAGGAACACATGTTCTATCCGTGTCATCGGTCAAATTAGAAGCTATTGGTATTGTAGCTCCCTGATATTCTGCATCCTTCACAATCATACAGCCCCTTGCACTGGTACTTGCGCCATACATATAAGTATCTTCGTAAATAACTTCGTTTGGATCGAAGATATTATGTCTATATAAGTAGTAACAATAAAAGTAAAAAACACGATAATATCAATTGTGCACAGAACTTCGTGAAAGAATTCCTATATTGTTTCTCTTAGTTGTTAAAAATATATACTTATGGTATACTTACATCTTCCTGTGTACATTAAGATGGATCCCTAATTTATAGGGATCATGAGAATTTAATAGTTTTTTACATATAATGCACTGTGCATCGCCAGATAATGTTGGAATGAAATAATCCCATGCCCAATGAATGTTACGTTCTGTCTTCTGTCCTCCTGTTAATACTTCCGGATGTTTTACATTCAAGTGCAAGGGTAAATAAGCATAGTTGCTTTTATAACCTACTTTTGTCGAACAATATATGCAAATTGCGAAATATTCTTCTTTTGATGGTTTGTAATGTTTACGCAGATATTGACGAACTC